TCAATATTTGCCCCTACGCCCCTTTCAAAGGGATGTGGGGGTCAGGATCCATCTAATGGCATGTATGTACATTCATTGTGGGGAAACTAGCCTAATAAAAAAAATTATTATTTTCCTCCAAAATGCTGAACCACCCCGGCCCTTACAATTTCGGCCCGAAAGTTGTGATAACTCAAATTTTTCAATATTTGCCCCAACGCCCCTTTCAAAGGGATGTGGGGGTCAGGATCCATCTAATTGCATGTATGTACATTCATTGTGGAGAAACTAGCCTAATAAAAAAAATTAATATTTTCCTCCAAAATGCTGAACCACCCCGGCCCTTACAACATCGGCCCGAAAAGTTGTGATAATTCAAATTTTTACAATATTTGCCCCTACGCCACTTTCAAAGGAATATGGGGTTCAGGATCCATCTAATAGCATGTATGTACATTCATTGTGGGGAAACTAGCCTATTCAAAAAATATAATTTTTTCCTCCAAAATGCTGAACCACCCCGGCCCTTACAATTTCGGCCCGAAAGGTGTGATAATTCAAATTTTTACAATATTTACCACTACGCTCCATACAAAGGGATATGGGGGTCAGGATCCATCTAATGGCATGTATGTACATTCATTGTGGGGAAACTAGCCTATTCAAAAAATATAACTTTTTCCTCCAAAATGCTGAACCACCCCGGCCCTTACAATTTCGGCCCGAATGGTGTGATAATTAAAATTTTTCAATATTTGCCCCTACGCCCCTTTCAAAGGGATGTGGGGGTCAGGATCCATCTAATGGCATGTATGTACATTCAGTGTGGGGAAACTAGCCTATTCAAAAAATATAATTTTTTCCTCCAAAATGCTGAACCACCCCGGCCCCTACAATTTCGGCCCGAAAGGTGTGATAATTCAAATTTTTATAATATTTGCCCCTACCCCCCTGTCAAAGGGATATGGGGATCAGGATCCATCTAATGGCATGTATATTGTGGGGAAACTAGCCTATTCAAAAAATATAATTTTTTCCTCCAAAATGCTGAACCACCCCGGCCCCTACAATTTCGGCCCGAAAGGTGTGATAATTCAAATTTTTATAATATTTGCCCCTACCCCCCTGTCAAAGGGATATGGGGATCAGGATCCATCTAATGGCATGTATGTACATTCATTGTGGGGAAACTAGCCTATTCAAAAAATATAATTTTTTCCTCCAAAATGCTGAACCACCCCGGCCCTTACAATTTCGGCCCGAAAGGTGTGATAATTCAAATTTTTACAATATTTACCACTACGCCCCATACAAAGGGATATGGGGGTCAGGATCCATCTAATGGCATGTATGTACATTCATTGTGGGGAAACTAGCCTAATAAAAAAAATTAATATTTTCCTCCAAAATGCTGAACCACCCCGGCCCTTACAACTTCGACCCGAAAAGTTGTGATAATTCAAATTTTTACAATATTTGCCCCTACGCCACTTTCAAAGGGATATGGGGGTCAGGATCCATCTAATGGCATGTATGTACATTCATTGTGGGGAAACTAGCCTAATAAAAAAAATTATTATTTTCCTCCAAAATGCTGAACCTCCCCGGCCCTTACAATTTCGGCCCGAAAGTTGTGATAACTCAAATTTTTCAATATTTGCCCCAACGCCCCTTTCAAAGGGATGTGGGGGTCAGGATCCATCTAATGGCATGTATGTACATTCATTGTGGAGAAACTAGCCTAATAAAAAAATTAATATTTTCCTCCAAAATGCTGAACCACCCCGGCCCTTACAACTTCGGCCCGAAAAGTTGTGATAATTCAAATTTTTACAATATTTGCCCCTACGCCACTTTCAAAGGGATATGGGGTTCAGGATCCATCTAATAGCATGTATTTACATTCATTGTGGGGAAACTAGCCTATTCAAAAAATATAATTTTTTCCTCCAAAATGCTGAACCACCCCAGCCCTTACAATTTCGGCCCGAAAGGTGTGATAATTCAAATTTTTACAATATTTACCACTACGCCCCATACAAAGGGATATGGGGGTCAGGATCCATCTAATGGCATGTATGTACATTCATTGTGGGGAAACTAGCCTATTCAAAAAATATAACTTTTTCCTCCAAAATGCTGAACCACCCCGGCCCTTACAATTTCGGCCCGAAAGGTGTGATAATTCAAATTTTTACAATATTTGCCCTACGCCCCTTTCAAAGGGATATAGGGGTCAGGATCCATCTAATGGCATGTATGTACATTCATTGTGGGGAAACTAGCCTATTTAAAAACTAGATGGAATTTTGACTGCGCGCAGTCGAAAATGATGCCTCCGCCATAGAGCAATTTAAACAAGTTTGGAGTTTAAATCTCCAGTGGTTCTTGAGATATCATGATAACAATCTCAATGTATGGAATTTCATAAGTTGACCTCTGTGACCCTTGACCTTTGACCTACGTGCTCCAAAATCTAATCAGATTGTCTTCCTATGGTGATACACACTATCATTAAGTTTGAAGTTTAAATCTCCAGTGGTTCTTGAGATATTATGATATGGTGATACATACTATCATTAAGTTTGAAGTGAAAATTCTCCAGTGGTTCTTGAGATATCTCGATAACGATCTCAATGTATGGAATTTCATAAGTTGACCTCTGTGACCCTTGACCTTTGACCTACGTGCTCCAAAATATAATCAGATCGTCTTCCTATGGTGATACATACTATCCTTAAGTTTGAAGTTTGTACATCTCCAGTGGTTCTTGAGATATCATGATAACAATCTCAATGTATGGAATTTCATAAGTTGACCTCTATGACCCTTGACCTTTGACCTACGTGCTCCAAAATGTAATCAGATTGTTTTCCTATAGTGATACACACTATCACTAAGTTTGAAGTTTAAATCTCCAGTGGTTCTTGAGATATCATGATAACAATCTCAATGTATGGAATTTCATAAGTTGACCTCTGTGACCCTTGACCTTTGACATACGTGCTCCAAAATCTAATCAGATCGTCTTCCTATGGTGATACATACTATCCTTAAGTTTGAAGTTTAAATCTCAAATGGTTCTTGAGATATCGCGCTAACAAACTCAATACAAGGAATTTCATAAGTTGACCTCTGTGACCTGTGACCTTTGACCTACGTACTCCAAAATCTAATCAGATTGTCTTCCTATGGTGATAAATACTATTCCCGAGTCTCAAGTTTAAATCTTAAATGGTTCTTGAGATATTGTGATAACGGTCAAACGGGACGGACGTACGGACGTACGGACGGACAACCCGAAAACATGATGCCTCCGGCACCACCTTCGGTGGCGGAGGCATAAAAATGGAGGATAAAAATGGAGAGACTAGAAAAGTTAAAGTTGTTACACTAGCAATCTAGATCTAATTGCAAATCTATACAAGCATAGATGCTCAGACCATTTTTTTAATGTATTCAAATTTATTCACTCTATCTAGCAATGAGCAATTACATTCACCTGTTTTTATTGTATCTCAATAATCGGAATTAGGTCAGATAAACATCATGGCTTGTCCTTCCAAACAACACATAATGTATCTGATTTGCATTCTGAATATTGAAACACAATTATCCATAACAGGTAAATGAAATAACAAAGGCATACTGATTACATTACGAAAAAAGGCATATTACCAATAGACTATTTAACAAATATATACAAATATACGGATGTTCCTACCCCATGCTCTGAAGCATTGAGGCATGAATAATACTTCAAACAATTTGTAAAATAGTCTGTTGAATAGACCATTTTCGGAATGTAACCAAATTTATGCATATGCCTTTGTATATGGCCTCATACAAATTATTTAATTCACCTGTTAGGTGAGAGGGAGGAAGGGAAAGGGAGGGAAGGAGAGGGAGGGAAAGGGAGGGAAGGAGAGGAAGGGAAAGGGAGGGAAGGAGAGGGAGGGAAAGGGAGGGAAGGAGAGGGAGGGAAAGGGAGAGAAGGAGAGGAAGGGAAAGGGAGGGAAGGAAAGGGAGGGAAAGGGAGGGAAAGGGAAAGGGAGGGAAGGAGAGGGAGGGGAAGGAGAGGAAGGAAAAGGGAGGGAAGGAGAGGGAGGGAAAGGGAGGGAAAGGGAGGGAAGGAGAGGAAGGGAAAGGGAGGGAAGGAGAGGGAGGGAAAGGGAGGGAAGGAGAGGGAGGAAAAGGGAGGGAAGGAGAGGAAGGGAAAGGGAGGGAAGGAGAGGAAGGGAAAGGGAGGGAAGGAGAGGGAGGAAAAGGGAGGGAAGGAGAGGGAAGGAGAGGGAGGGAAAGGGAGGGAAGGAGAGGGAGGAAAATGGAAGGAGAGGGAGGGAAAGGGAGGGAAGGAAAGGGAGGGAGGGAAGGAAAGGGAGGGAGGGAAGGAAAGGGAGGAAGGGAAGGAAAGGGAGGGAGGGAAGGAAAGGGAGGGAGGGAAGGAAAGGGAGGGAAAGAGAGGGAGGGAAAGGGAGGGAAGGAGAGGGAGGGAAAGGGAGGGAAGGAGAGGGAGGAAAAGGGAGGGAAGGAGAGGAAGGGAAAGGGAGGGAAGGAGAGGAAGGGAAAGGGAGGGAAGGAGAGGAAGGGAAAGGGAGGGAAGGAGAGGGAGGGAAAGGGAGGGAAGGAGAGGGAGGAAAATGGAAGGAGAGGGAGGGAAAGGGAGGGAAGGAAAGGGAGGGAGGGAAGGAAAGGGAGGGAGGGAAGGAAAGGGAGGAAGGGAAGGAAAGGGAGGGAGGGAAGGAAAGGGAGGGAGGGAAGGAAAGGGAGGGAAAGAGAGGTACCGGAGGAGAGGGAAAAGGGAAGGGGAGAAACTGAGACAAGGGAAGAGACAATCAGACAGGCAAAGAAAAGTGGAGTGAGAGGAGAGGAGAGTGAGGAGAGAGTGATAATTAGAGGGAAAAGGAGAGAGAAACATGGAGAGGGGAGGAAGAGGGAGAGATTGAGAGAGAGATTGAGAGAGAGATTACAACAGAGAGAGATTAAGATAGAGAGATTGAGAGGGAGAGATTGAGAGAGTGTGATAAGCATACCTTTGGTGATGAGGCAATGGAGAAAGCTCTAGGCTGTATCGCTGGTATAACATCCAGGAGGTATTGCAACGGGATGGTACTGCTCACATGAGGGAAATCCTGTAACGTCTCAAGGATGGTACGACGAGGGCGGTTGCAGTATGTGTACAGCTCTTGCTAAAGATAAGGAAAAGATTAAAATAAGGTAACTCGTTCGTTCGTGTCTCCTTAGATCAAGATCAATGTACAGTTACTTGATTAAATTGAATCAAATTAAGTTCTTCCATTGCCCGATGGCTGCGATGGCCATCTGATTAACAAGGGCCAAATCTTCATCTGTGCAACCCGTTTCGCCACACTGCAAGATGTGGTCCATCCTTTGAATCTCTCTGCAGTTGCAGAGAGAATCTTCTTCATGGGCAATAAGGTAACTAAGAGTTTATGTAAACAGATGATTAAAATAGAGGAGGTAGGTGAGGGGATATATCAATCCGGATTTTCTGTTAGCAAATGTTAAAAATTTAGTGCCTTGTGAGCAAAAGGAAAAGGGCGATGACCTTTCAGGGGAGGGGGGAGGGGGAATTTGTTTAATCTATATTGTTGGCAATAAGCCGTTTACAATACTGTAGCTATCTCCTGTAAAATGATTAATCAAGCATAACCTGTAATAATCGATATGATTATTATCCCTACGCACAACTAACCCTCCCTCGATAAAAAAATCCAACCACGAAAGCCATCATCCAGACTAATACCATCAAACCCTATTTCTCTGACGGAAAGTGATTTTGTTTTGTTATCCTGCTACATGTATTTCTACCCATAGGAAGAGATGGATAGTTGTCCTACATTCATACTTGCAGTAATGATGTATGGCTCTAACCCGAGCAATATTTGAGCACCTGGGGAGTGTTTCACAAAGACAAAGATCAAATTTAAGTTGGATTTAATATAGCAGGCCGTTCATGCCACTGTCTGCTCTCACCATTTACTGGCATTTGTCTCTCAAGGAGTGTATAATTCATGGTCACAAATCTACAGAATTTTTTTTTTTTTTGATTCATTATTGAAGGAAAAAATATTATCTAAAGATCTAAAGATCTAATGATGGTGAGAGCAAATAGTGGCATGAACAAGTACAACTTAAAGTTGATCTTAGTCTTTGTGAAACACTCCCCAGGAGGATCACTGCATGGTGCATGTCAGTGTCGGTACTAGATCCTAATACATGTTCATCAGTATCATTATCACATTATTTGAAATGGAATACCTGGCCTTCTGCAGAGTCAAACTCCTGGAATTTTTCTCTCTCCAGCTCGTTCCTCGCATGGTGGGCCAGCATCTCAAAGAAGGATCTCCTTGGGATGCTGTTGATATCCAGGTAGTTGGTTGCTAGGTAACGGATGGAACACGTTGGAGGCAGCAGCCAAGATGGAGGCAGGGGGACGTCTATAGGGTGGTCAAGGGGTAAATAACAAAGACTTATCAGGTTGCCAACATAATACATTCAAACCTGTCTATATTGACCGCCCAAGGGAAACACAAAAGTGGTCTTTGTAGACAGGTTCCTTTAGTACATGTTTCAATGAGAAAACGTTTTCAAGGGAAATAAAAAACGTGGTCCTTGTAGACAGGTGGTCACTAAAGCAGGTTTGACTGTCTCAGGATGACTTTCCTCTGGACACCTACCCCAAAGAGCAATTACCCCTATCAGCTTTTCCCTTAAAGATAACCGCAATTAGGGCTTCAGGCAAACCACCAGGGGGTAAATGAATTAGGGGGTTAATGTCCATGGGGTTTTACACATATTTTCATCACAATGAGTAATAATAGTAATAATGCACTTACATAACACATTTTCCATATACATGTTTTAAATGCGTTTTACAATTATGTTATCAATACAAGAGGCGAGTTTTGCGATATTTTTTAAGGATATTGAAAGACTTCTGGTGGTGAAGACATCTGGGAAGGTTATTTCACAGTTTGGGAGCAGCAGATGTGTATGCTTTGGGAGATCGAAGGTTCAGCATGATGCCTCGAGTAGAATACGATCTTAATAACTCTATTGGTTCCAATTTAAAAAAATTGAGGGAAACAATATTTGCTGCAAAGGGGCACACGAGCCAAATGCCCAACTAAACCGAAACTATCAACTTAGATCATAGGAAAATGTAACTCATGTTAACATGCTTGCTTGTTTTTGCTTGTTGGTACCTTCTAACACCTTAGCCCCCCCCCCCTCTACCATGGATGCGTCTTATTTTTTCATACCACAGCGAGCCCAGATTCCAGTATGAAATCAGTTTCATACATAACAAGCTACGTAAGCTTGCAAAGAGGTAACAAACAATTAGACTTTGATTATTTATTGCTTTGCCTCACTGTTTGTAAAGGCAAAAACGCTGAATAAATACTGAGATACGAACCCTCAAGTCAACCCCAAAGTGCTATTAATATCACGCTGTCCTTACTGATTGAGCTAACGATGAGTTGATGAAAGTTTGATTTGTATAATTACTATCACCCTATTAACCACCCTACTGGATTCCATGTGCGCATCGTATGCGCTGGTTTCTTTCGCAAATGTGCATGCGCAGGTTTCCCTCGCGAGCTAAATCTGGGCTCGCGGTGGTACGAAAAAATAAGACGCACCCTGGATCCACCATTGATCACCCATTTAGAGTTGCTCAGCTATGACCTGCACTAACCTGGGTCACCCTGTGAGATGGTGATCATCTGATCTGGATCAAGATTCATGTTTTGAAGAAAAGCGTCCACGGAGGATGTCAAATTTCTCGGTTGAATCATTAAAACATCCCCAGGAGAGTACCTGACAAAAAAAACAAAAAATTCTCCTTCAAGATTTTGTTGAGAGTCCAGCTCAGTCAGGAAGATATACTGGGATGGTAGGTGAGGCAAGTAACTGCAAGGAGTGCCATGAAGTGCAGAAATGGTGTGTGGACAAAGCACTTGTCAATTTACAGTGGCGGTAGTTACTAATAGAACTTGAGTAGTGTGGTTGAAGGATTCACAGATTTTCATCTGACAGGGACCGCAACGTGAACGCTCCTTCATTGGCTCTTTCATTGACGTAAAATATGACAAGTCCAGTGCAAGTAAAAACCATGCCAGTAAACGTATATTATGTGAGAGCCTACAGGAGGCTGCATGAGCCTGCATCATTCTGATGAAAGGTAGAGCAGCCTCCTTGAAATAGGTTATTCCTTTTGCATTGATTGCTGAGCCTGGTAGATGGTTTCGGACATAAGCCCTACTTAGCAGGCACGTAGCCACGGGGGCGGGGGGCACTGGGGAGCACGTGCCCCCCCAAAATTTCCAAGATTGGTTGAACTTTTTTAGACCCCTTTTTTTTTATCTCGATCGATTACATGTATGTGCCCCCCCCCCCCAAGCATCAAACTCTGGCTACGTGCCTGCTGCTTAGCACTCATTACTCATCCCTTCAAAAAAGAAAAAAAAGTTTTCAATCATGGATCCTACAAATAAATAACATAAGACTGCAGTTATGCAGAAATGGAAGAAATGTCTTACTTAATATTGGACTCCTGAACATCTAGCTTGACCAATCGAACATCCTGGAAATGATCGGGAGCGGTCAGTCGCTCGTTAGCCACCATCTTGGCGTGGAATGGGCACAGGTTGTTTGGGGCAACAGAACTACGAGGCTCAACGATTGGTGTGTCAGCGATGTCTTTCATGAATCCATTCTCCATGCTCTCTATGAATCGCACGTTGTATCTGGCAGGTGGACTAGATTAGGGGACAAAGAATTTGAGAGGAATGACGGACATGACAATGTAAATGGGTATACATACTCTGCCGTTTCAAATTCAGGTTGAATTTCCAGGATGAAAACTAGGATGAAAAAAAGTGAGCAATATTTAATGATTATTATCTTCATACATAATAATAATAATAAATCAGTGTATTCAATATCTTTAGCGTAGTACCCGGATGACCAACTAATATTGTTTTTGTATTGCTCAGTTATCAAGGAACTTCAACTATCGATATCAATATTATGACTATGACAATATTGACAAATTGGACTTGTTCAATATTGTCATAGCTCAAGCAATATATTCTTGTATCACACTGAAAGCCATCCAGTATTATATAATTACCGGTATCGGTAACTATATTTTTCTACTTACATATTCTGTTCATAGATACACAAATTCACAATAATAAAGTGTAAATATCAGAAAGTAGTAGTGGTAGTAATGGTGGTTATTTTACCGGACTGCTAAGAAAGCATAAATGCTTGTTAGTAAGCAACCAGACGACCGACGGCTTTAGGATCCTCTCTGAGGGATGCCTTACCAAAGGGCACTAGCGCATCGCCTTGGTTTCAAACCCGGGTCGCCGGATTATGAGACCACTGCTCTACCGACTGAGCCATCGCGCCTCACACAAGTAAAGGATAAATCAAGACTTTAAATCTTTAAATGCTGTCTTCGCTTTACATACCAAACTCACTGAGGTTCATACAGATAACAAACACACACAAAAATACTTTTTTTTTGGGGGGGGGGGGGCTTATCAATAGTATAAATAGGCTTTGACATATACATCATGCACTGCCTTACGTACCAAACATGAGCTGGGATGATCTCAAGACCACTAGGTAGAGGGTAGAGGGACAGGACTTCCTTCCATAAGGATGTCAACCACGGATCTATAACCGCATCTGGTCTGAAATAAAGTGAAATTTGAAAAGTTCACACATACAAAATTAAAATCAAAGCAAATCGTTTATTGAAAAGTAATCTTGACATTAAAGGATTGTCATGATAAACAGAAGAAGAATATCATAACTAGGCCTTTAAGAGATGCATCAGTTGTATGAATTTGAAAAGCCTACCTGAAAGTTAAAAGAAGTTATTAATATTCGCTGCTTTTGAGACAGATATTATTGACCTTTGACCTTGGACACATTTAACAAACTTAGCCCCAACCCTCAATAAAGGCATCTGTATTATAAATGTAGTGCTCCTATCTCAAAAGTGAGGTATTCAGAGAAAAGAACATACAAGAATAGACAGATAGGCATCTACGTCATGGGACATTTGAATATTATTACAGTGAAACCTGTCTATAAAGACCACCTAAAAAGGACAAGAAAAGTGGTCTTTATAGGCAGATGGTCTTCATGTACCAGTTCCTGTAGTACAAGTTTCAATGAGAAACCATTTTCAAGGGAAACAAAAGATGAGGTCTTTGTAGACAGGCGGTCTTCCTATACAGGTGGTCATTAAAGCAGGTTTGACTGTACAACACAGTTATTGAAAATTGTCTTCTTACCCAAGTTCATGTTGGTCATCCCCCAAGCCAAGCGGAATCAAATCTGATGCACCAAGCTGAATCAAACGACGAAATAACTTCTTGGCAACATAGTTAAATCTGTGATCAAGACCGAAGAAGAATACAAAAACAATATCTCACTGAAATGTACAGAATTTGCATAATTTAACACAATAATGGTTCCCAAATTAAGTTTGTTTGATGCTACATCATATGGTCAAATAATTGTTACAAGTAGTATAGAAATATTACTTTGGCAAGAGACACACACAAGGATAATGTTTAGTTAGCTAACTTACTACGAGGTATCACTTGAAATTGCCTGTAACAGACACAGTATCATAATAATACATTCATTCATTATTTCATTTTTGCATTTTCTTTCTTATGTAAATGTACACAATTCTTTGTCATGATGTAATGTGTACCCTTATATTTTGAAGTGCCTTGAGCATTTAATTAAAATGGATAATGGCGCTGTATAAATCTCATGTATTATTATTATTATTATTATTATTATTATTACCGTAAATCTCCGTGTATAAGGCGCACCTGTGTATAAGGCGCACCCCTATTTTTTTTTTTTTTGGGGGGGGGGGGAAAAAATTGTTTTTTTGTTTTGTTGTTGTTGTTGTTTTGTTGCCGAAAACCCACGCGGGGAAGGACCTTCATTTTACATCGAGGTGCAGTAGAAGTTGTGAACTTGTCACAAATAATAGTAACAACAGTCTAAGGCTTCATGATACCAAGTGTCCCACACCAGCCTCTTCACATCACCTAGTAGAAGCACTGTGTTCTATGCCAAACATCAATAGTCATGCATGATATGAATAGCATCCTCTATCTTTCTAATAATGGAGTACCTAGGATAGAACCTTGTGGTACACCATTTGTTATAGAAAACATATGCGACATTGCCAGGCATAGCGCCATTAATCGAAACTAAAAAAAAAAACTACCTGTGTATAAGACGCACCCCCGACTTTCAAATTTTTTCGGCGGCAAAAAAGTGCGCCTTATACACGGAGATTTACGGTATTATCTATCTATCTTTCTACCCATGTCCCATAGCTTGGAGGTCGTTGGGTCTAAAATGTAATTGACCTTGAGAGACAGGTTCTTCACAACAGTTCTAATTAGCTGCTCAAATCACACATAGCCTCATTACTATCCTGGCTGTGTATTAAAATCTGTTCTATTGATACTCAACATTTCAAACACCACTGTGCAAAACCCAACTTATTTCACTCAAAATCGGTACTTTAGTGACAATTGATGACAGCTACATAGCAGTAAAATACAATTTTTCCAACTTACCAATGTTAGAAAGATTAATTTGAAAATTCAAATCGTGAGTCTACTGTCAAACTTGCCGATCAGCCACATCGTATTCATTGTGTGCATTTGTGTGTAATGTGTGTATTGACTATTCATGTGTGCAATTGCTACCTATTAGCACGTAGTACAGCGCTAGAGGTCAATGCGCATTAACATCGACTCTCTATGCTTTGCTGGAGTGGCTCAAATGACATTCCTGTCCACTGCTTGATGTAATCAATCCATGTCCTAGTTCGTCTGCCCCTCTTTCTTATTCCATCAGTTCCTCCTTGCAAGATGGTGTTTGCTCTTTAAAGCTACTCTCTCATCTAGTTACATGCTACAATTACTGTAGCTGTTATACAGAACATTGTTACAAATAGTCATGAAGCACCTATACAATTTGATTCATGCATATCCTGATGATGTATGCTACTCACTTTGGGTAGGATGAATCTCCAAGCCCGAGTACTGAAAATTTCAGCTGATTCAGCGAGTCACCTGGCAAATCCTTCCTCATTATAAAGCGCCAAAATTTCTGAGAACAAAACCAGATACATTTCATCAACTATAAAGAAACAACAGGAGTAATATGACTTAAACTTGCAAGAATGAAATGTATAGAGTTACGTTTGTGAAGTACAGAAATGATTAAAGGAAGGAAAGCAGGCAGTAGGTAGGGAGATCCAGTGTTTATTCCAGTAACAATTGCTCAGGGCATCATATTGTCAAGTGTATAGGTTGAGGATTAAGACTGTGATTGGGGTTTCAAGAGTTTAGAGTTATATACACCGTTTTGTGTCCATAATTGAAGTAATGACTTTCGGTAGTGTACAAAATTGATCACAGAGTAATTGCTGCCAGAAAATTCATCATTTAAGCAGAGCAAGTAATTTGGGGTCGACTGCAAAGGTGCAAAATACCTTGCACAATATTTTAAACAGCTGATCAGAATAAACATTATTTATGTTACCTGATGATTGTTAGACAGTTAAAACAAATTTGAGAAATTATCATTGTTTCACACTTAAAATAGAATCTTGCTCTGTTATTATTTAGGACCTGAGTATATTCTGTAAATTTACCTTCATATTATCAGGTTCATCCCCTTGTCCTGTGGTTGCTAAAACAAAGATCACCAACTCCTCCTGAATTAAACTTGCCTGGCGAAAAAGAAAGGAAAAACAGAGACAATTGTATTACATGTGCTAAAGTTAGACCAGAAGACTGCTTGATTAACCCTATTTTAAAAGGCAAATGTAAATAATTTTCAGAATATGTGGTTGAAAATTGGAAACTAAAATATTGGGGGTGATTTGTTTTTAAGTATTCAGCAAAGTGTCAGGTGATAATCTGAGTTTGCATTTTGCACATCTGACCCCCTTTAACAAATATTTTAATCTGTCTAATGATAAAGCATTGACTTTGCTTCACTCAGTTTCTTACTGCCATACTTACGATAGAATAAGAGTCCGAGGGCAAGACTCGAGCTGCCAGGTGTCTCCTCTTTGCTTCTCGACCAATCCTCTCTGCTACATCCTGAGCCGTTCCTGTCTGGCTGCCATAAAGTATGACAACTCTGCGTTCTGCCATGATGACAGTTTCCCACACAACTAGAGAATTATTGATGGAGGTTGGTTCGGATTTTAGAATGAAGAAATCTGAAAAGAGAATAAAACAATTAAAAGGTATCAATCTAGTCTTAGCTATATTTTAAATTAAATAGGAAGGAAAATGTGAACACCACCTGAAAATATGGCTATGGCCACTCCTACATTCGTTAATCTTAGGTTATCTTGATGCATGTAATTTTCTCTCTTTCTCTTTGACTTTAGACTTAGTTTAAGCCTAGGTTAAATTTTCTCTTTATATTTTTTCTCCCTGTTTTTGTTGTTGGTGGTGGTGGTAGCGGTAAATGGAACAAGGAAAAGCCAACTGTTAGCAAGTTGAAGTCACAGGCCAGCTGAAAAAAAAACAAGATTAACATTATTAGTACAATGTGATCTACACAATCAGTAGGGGCGCTGTTCTGAAAATAAGGATCGTCCACACAAGCGAGGATCGTCTTCGTAAAACACGGACAGATGCATCCGCAAAAATAAAGTTCATCCGCTTACAGACGATTGTTATTTCGGACCCGCGCAATCCCGATGCGAAAAAACGGATTCCGCGAATGGTTTTTTTCTTGATGCATTTTACATTGACTTTGTACAGAGACTTTCAAGTTATGAGTGATAAATCCTCGGGAAGACGGACAATCCCGATGCGAAAAAACAGATTCCGCGAATGTTTTTTTCTTGATGCATTTTACTTTGACTTTATACAGAGACGACTTTCACGTTATGAGCGATAAATCCTCGGGAAGACGGACAACCCATAAAAGTAGCAGTGAACTGGGGGTATTTTATTACACGTAATTTGTTTTTCACATCGTCAGCACGCGGATCGAGAACCTAAACCCTGCAGAGCACCGAAGAAAAAAAACACCGCGACAAATCCTTATTTTTAGGACGAGATTTGACATTTGTCCGCGTTTAAAAGGATATCCTCATTCTCGGACCAGCGCCCTTACTGATAATAGTTTTTGATTTGCGCCTTCAGGGATGATACTGATACTAGTGATACTGTACTGTATCTAGCTGTAGAAAGTAGAGCAGAGTCAAGAATCGAGAAAAAAGCACACAAAAGTGAACGAGTGGGACTGTAATAAACACAGGCCAATGATTACGAGCCCGTAAAATTTGAACATCTTACAGACAATATTGTATCAATCTTAAGCAAGTGATGGTGGTTATCGGGGTAAAATATTCTGAACAAAAACTACAAGAAAATCAATCTTTAAAACAGTATTTACTCACCGATTCCACAGATTTTGCAGGCTAAACTAAAGGTCGACACGATTTATTTATGGTGTCTTCAAGTGGCAAACAATAGTTTTTTCTCAGCATGCATAACATAAACACGACCGACCATTACATGCACACGACCGATGAAAGCAGAATAATAAGACAAATATAATGGCGAAAGTTTTAAATAAATCGGACCAATAAATAAGAAAGTTATGAATATTTGAAATATGAGATCATTAATTCTTTCCAAGAACCATACGGGCCTGGAATTTACTTTCCCCCAGCATCTTTGCCTGCTACGCAGTTGAAACATTTAAAGCCAGACTCTGGGAAGCCATCCAAGGGGGTAATATAATCATAGTCCCTCCCCATAACTGCAATGGGACTCAATTCTAAAATGTTCTAGAAGCAACAAACACTCTCTCTCGAACAATAACGTTCTTATTGGTCATCTTTATATCCCTCTTGAGGATCAGGACCCGGATCAGAACAGAATCAGAATCTATGCCAATCTCAAATTGGCAGTTTGGCCGATGGATTGTGACGTGGTCGGGGATAACTCTCCCGTTTGTCATGTACAAACATATCACTCATTTCTGTTTTCTCTCAATTAAGTGCCTTTTCCTAAATTTGGGGCACTACTCAAATTTTGTTAAGATAAGATAAGATATTTATTCTTCTTTCTTTAAAATGTCACATAGAACATAACATTAGATCATTACACATTTACAATGCCAAAAAACAAAACAAATTATAGCAATGATAAAAACAAAGTTATAGAATATAGAATTGACCCTCATACATTATCGAAAAAATGGAATTTTAGTAATTTTGAGTGTTGGAACAATAGGAAAAGGGGTCTGCCGCAACATCTTAGAGACATTACAGGTTTAGCAAATCTGAAGAGCCCATACCTATAGTGATCACAACTTTAAAAATTAATAACTTTCTCATTATTAATTTGTCCCATTTCAATTCAAGCTTTCACCAGTCTAATTCTCTGATTTTCTGCTTTCCTCTAACGTAGTTTGCTATCAAGGTTGGATTTCCATTTAACTGCACGAACTGCATTATAGATGTCACTTTGATTACAATCCGTTTTCTCCTCTGTTTTATCATAATGATATACAATGTACTAGACAAATCGCAATGGACGTTGCCCTGGCCAAATTTAACAGAGTTCCTAATGTTTTTGCAATTTGGTCGGCGCATGCATGTATACACGTAAATTTTACCCTTTTTGGGGGGAGATGGGCCCCTCCCCTAGCACTTCAGGGGGGGGTGCGATATTTCAAATTTTCGAGGCCCCCCCCCCCAAAAAAAAAAAAAAATGGTGCTCAACATCCCCCCCCCCCCCCCCCAATGAGCGAATTATCGGCCGGCTATTTCGCCGCTAAATATTTTCTCCAAATTGGGCCCCCTCCCCTGCCGCCGGCTGGATCCGTCCCTGCAGTGCACTACCCTTTAATAGAAAGTGTGGTACAAAAAACTTGGTAAATAAACCGGCTGTAAGAATCAGGGTACGTGCGAGTAATACGTTTTTCTGTTTCTAAAATGGAAAATAGAAAAACAAACCGTTTTTATTTTCGCAGTCACAGGCGTGCGTATTAACTCCCTTATACACACTGAAATATATCAATCTTTAGAGCATTATTTCAATGTGCAGTCATTTGTCTTTTTAAATTTCTATCTTCATGTACCATTTACTTTAAATTTTTTGGCATCTCCAATATAAGATGAATATTTCGATGAATTTAGATACCCCCACCACCCCCCACGATGGCTCTTCTTGTAAATGAACAATTGTATTTGTTATTAAATAATATTTCCATTGGTATTGAAGCTCTATTATACATTGTGCTTATTCCATGTTATGTACCCTGTAGCTGTATTACGTAATTATGTATGTATAAATGTTTGTACCCCAAGTGTTAATCTACATGATGCCCGAATTTTATCTCTCTCTATATAATTCTTTTTACTATCCTCGAATGAATATCAAAGGATAACTCATCCTTTGTTTATATGGACGACACGAATATCAGACCGAATGAATAGTAGCCGAACTGATAACTATAGCCAAACTGATATTTAGACCAAGTGGTTATCAGACGAAATGTAAATTAGAAAAAGTGATTGTTAGATGAATTGGCTAGTGGACAAAGTGGGTTATGGCAGGCGCGGATCCAGGACTTTTTAGGGGGAGGCCCAAATTTGAAATCAATTTGAAATTTAGTGTGCTGAAATTTTAAAATCGTGGCGGCCGATATTTTGCTCAGTGGGGGGGGGGGGGGGGGGGGGGGGGTAATCAGCACTAATTTTTCACTTCTCTTTTGCCCCGGAAAATTGAAAATCGTGTTAATTTTTCTTCTTCTTTTTTGACCCAGAAAATGTTAAAATCGCGTTGACCGACATTTCTCTCAGTGGGGGGGGGGGGGGGGGGGGGGGGTGGCATAGTGACCTTTTTTTTCGTTCAACACCTTCCCCTCCATCCTTGAGCAAAAAAAAAGGGTAAATTTCTAGTCACAGTTTTTTTTTTTTTTTTACCAGGGGGGCCCGTCTTTTTTTTGCCCCAGGGGGGGGGCCTGGACTACTACTACTACTACTACTACTGCTGCTGCTGCTGCTACTACTACTACTACTTCTACTACTACTACTACTACTCATAATACTACTACTAATACTACTACTACTACTACTACTACTACTTCTCTACTACTGCCATCTACTGTAATCTCTTTCATTTGTGCACATGTGCAGAAAATGAAAAAAATAAGAGTAATGATAATTGAAGTGAGCATTCCAGGGACAGTCTGGCATCCAGAAATAGTGGTTTATCTCTTTGACTAAAGAGTCACTGTCTGTTCATGTATGATGTTCACTGACTGTAGAATGTTTAGAAATGTGATATTAATTTTCGATAGCTGCGATGTAATAGTGACATTTGCTCCCCATTATACCGAGCCCGATTCCGTTTAACCCCCATAATGGATGTCTCACCCACCTAGCCATTATCAAGATCGAATCTTTGATGGATACGGTGGCAAATCAGTGGAAAGATGAATTGACGTAACCCAAAGTGCGAGGAATGATGGATGATAAAATTCACAGTGCCTCAGGACAACCCGCGCATCTCACACCTCCGGGTCACGTTTCCACGGGTGCATTTGGCTTTAAATTCTCATCGCGCAGAGTGGTGAGCAACCATTTCTCCCTCGCGCAACATTATACGCTCTACACGGTCTACCCAGCCGGCTAGAAGCAGACGTGAGTTTGATACACCACTCCAAAAGGCAGTGGAAACGGTCACATTGTGTGAAAATATGAGGGCAGATAACTGGATGAAGAAACGGTGACGCCGGTGAATTGCTGAATAATATTTCCCTGCAACTGATTTCCGAATTCCGAATCTTGGAGAAGACAATCATTGTGAAAAGTTACTTTGAGAAACAAAGTTAAAAAGAAGTAGATAATGACATGTGTATATAATTATGCATATTACAGTACATTTGAGTTTAAAAAATAGAGAGAATGTATGACTGCAATATGAATGATATGATTCAGCATATGTTAGTCTAATCTAATGTCCTTTGGCAATGCATTAATCTACATTTGCCACTCCATACCCAGGAGAGAAATGGGGACCTTGTAGGATGACAAAAGCCTTTGTGTTAATAATTGCCATTAACCCGCACTGTGACCATATTGTAAGAATACTCCACATGGAGTGGAGATGGTGCACATTGTGCGTGAATGAATCATGTGACCGGGGTAATATACGATTTCCCAGCGAAATTTGCGAGTTTTGTCATTCGAATTAAATTACTTTGCATTTAAGTTAGCGCAGATCGGCTACGCCATGCCAATTATCATTCAATTTTCCCGTATTTGTATTTAATTTAGGATCTTGGTCGAAGGGTTACATGGATCTGTCATTTAATTCAGAAACTGCTCAACTATAGCATTCAAATTCATCGTCATTTTGTCGAGGCGCCATTTTTATTATTTAATTTAACACCTGTCATTTGTATTCGAAATATGTTTACTCGAGATAGAAATGTTAGGGGAAGAAATGCAACACACGTTTACACGTTTACAGTACTAAAAGTACACCGTCGCGATGTCGGAAATTCAGGTTGTGCCAAATCGAATGACCAAATAACGAAAGAAGCACATTGTTCATCAATTCGAATAAAACATACATAGATTCTAACGAAAAACTTCTTAGTTTTGAAAACTAGGAAAAGGAATATAAGCCCGAGGTATACCTGACAGCAAAACGTCGAATTTGAACGAAGACAAATTAATTTTAATGACAAACTCGCGAATTTGGCCGAGAAATCCTATGATATCTGAAAAGCGCCTAGATACGGTAATTCGTATCAAGAGCTATATAAATCCAGATTATTATTATTAATAATCTAGTTAGAAAATAACATGTAACTCCTCATAGCCCTGGTAGCATTATATTCGAATATGGGCTCTCTTCTCTTGCCGTAATGTAAATTTTCAAGTTTCTAAATCTTTAGATTTAGCGAGCGAGCAAAAACAACGACACTATACTGGAACCGATTTAAATGCGGTCGAAATAAATTATTGTTTTTCCTTGTCTAGTAAAACCAAACCACACTGTACAGTTGTGGCTTTTTATCATTATTTTGTTTGATATATACTTTCAACGATACGGGTACCATATGTATCAACTCAGTTCAAGGTAAAATCATACATACGTACATACATACATACATATTGGTATTTATTGAGCGCCTTTACATGAACATGCTCAAGGCGCTTTACATTTTAAAATACAAACATAATAGTTATATACTCTCCAAGTGCATTACACTCTAAAAAAAAAATGACAATTACAAAGAAAACAAATGAGTTTTTAAATGTTTCTTAAATAATGCGACTGAGGTGCAAGAACGAATGCTTAAAGGGAGACTTTTCCAAATAGTGGGACCAGAACAAATTATATTTTGTTGACCCTTCTTCGAATTGATGCGGGGGATTTGCAGAAGAAGGGGGTCTGACCTTGAACGTAATGGATATCATCAACCATAATAATGCTGAGGGATCAACATTAGAAAGGACTTCTCACCCTTCTCTTCTTGTCGTCCCCAAAACAAAACCAAAACAAAATCAATGGGGGGATTGATCGTGTAGTCATGCTAGATCAGTTCTATGGAATCAATTACCACAGCCTCTTATACCCCGTTCACACCTTACGAAGACCATGCCGATCACCCCGATCATCCCTGATCGAAAAAAATTATCAAATCGGGGTCTTATCGCCATCAAAGTCCAGCAATTTGGCAAATGAAAGACCACATCACGACAGTACTGCGATGCTTCTTCGTCAAAAGCGCTACTGACTCGCTGTCACTACGATTACACCTAGACCAGTGCCGACCAAGCGGTCCTTTCTACTACGTTGCCACTATACGACGTAGAGGACTATACTACTACTTACAAAGCCTTAGAAGACTGTAGGTCTGTAGACGATGTCGCTACGCTGTTGCTGACCATACTATACGCTTCTAGTACGCTCCTAGTACGATTTGTGGCGATGTCTATATAAATCGGGGGTGTTCAAGCATTTCTACAGTTCTTTTCCAACAACTTCGAAAATGAACGGACCTGATTCCTCGAAATTTTTGCCGACGGTGCTGCGTTTTTATTAAAACAATTATGCTACCACGCTGCTTTTACGATAATGGCGTCCCCACTACGTTAAGACTTTGCCCCGCTTTTTGTTGGTCATATGACCCGGCTGCTATGCTTATTTTGTGCACGGTCAAAATAAGCGCGGGGAGAGCGTGGAGCTTCCCGACCGAGGAGATCCCACCCCGACCAAACCACGCTCATGAAGATCCTCCCACGTTTATCCCACGATTGGCCCTGTTTGGCCACGCTCTCGACCACTTTTCCATCGTAGTAGAAGCGGCGTCTATGAGTGATCGGGGTATTAAGTAAATAGCAATCGTAAATTCATTCAAGTCTTCTCTTAAAACTCATCTACTCAAACCCACTTTTGATAAATTTAATACTTCCACATTTACTTCCACATTTGCAGAGTCGCCATAAATTATGTTGTAAAAATACAGATTGGTTGTTATTTTCTCCTACAAACATTTCATGTATTTTCTTTTACAAATTGTATGTTGATTAAAATTACACCAGAATGAATGTAAAAACATAGTACAAAAATGTTGTATAAATACATTTGTTTGTTAATTTGTTTTACAGCTTTGGTGTGGAAGTACCTTTTTGTGTATTTGTATTTGAAGCAATTTTGTTTTGATTTGTTTACACCACCATGTAATTTTACAGAATGAATGTAAAAATATAGTTCAAAAACGTTGTATAAATACAAATGTTTGTTAATTTGGTTTACAGCTTTCCCTTCTTCCTTTTGAGTACAGACCTCTTTACAGAGTATTATCGTACTATACTGGGGGTGTGCAGGTGGAGCACTACACCGGGGTTTCCCCCTACTCTTATACGAATAGTGCAGTGGGTTCTTAACGTGCAAAGGTAGTGACTCTTCTCTACACGTGGCCTCCATTTAACGTCCTATCCGAGGGACGGAGTGTTTTCCACTTGACATAACCTGCGTCTATGAACAAGGGAAGGGGCACGTTAACACACAACGCAGGTTTCAGTCATCCGCTTGGGTGGGAGTCGAACCCGGATCTTTGGTTCGACAGACGGACGCTTTACCGACTGAGCCAACTCGCCTCCCTTTGGTGTGGAAGTACCTTTTTGTGTTTTTGTATTTGACCCAATTTTGTTTTATTTTTTTACACCACCATGTAATTTTACAGCATGAATGTAGAAATATAGTACACATTCAAAGTCTCCGCATCCTCCGCATCCTGTATAAGAAGCCCACTCAAAGCCACGTGCATCAGTATTCAAAGACAAAAGGCTCATTCAATCATGCAAAGAAGGGCGGGAAAAAGACAACAAAATCAATTGTATTAATAGTCACACTGGCAGAACATTCAATCAGGGAGGGACATGATTCCTCATATTAGGCTTATACTTCGTAGAATATAAATTAAACTTCAATATTAAATTTCTTTTAAATCTCGTTTAATTTAATTATTCTACTTCGTAACGCCTAATTATTCGAAATCATGTCTGGGATTTTAAAGTTGGAAAACGGAATCGGTAAATATATGTGAAATAAGTTTCATGAAATGTAAAATGCTGTCCAATCAAAACGACATCATAAAAACAGAATTTTGTTAAAGAATCTAGTAACTGCATTCAAATTAAATCACATCGAAGTAAAACTGCACCATATCCATTCAATTTAAGAAATCGTTGTACGAATACAGACATCTGTAAAAATGCATTTAGGTAAACAATTTCATCTGTAAAATTACAGGCAAACTGTATTAGTAACTCTATTTTGCCTTAAAATTACAGGCAAACTGTATTAGTAAGCCTATTTTGCCTTAAAATTACAAATTTCTGATGTAAGTAAGTCTCACAATAAAAACGAAGTATTTTTACGGGATAGATCTGTAAAATTACAGGCAAACTGTATTAGTACTCTATTTTGCCTTAAAATTACAAATTTCTGATGTAAGTCAGTTTCGCAATAAAAATGAAGTATTTTTACGAGATAGATCTGTAAAATTACAGGCAAACTGTATTAGTACCTGTATTTTGCCTTCAAATTACAAATTTCTGATGTAAATCATTCTCACAATAAAAATGAAGTACTTTTACGGGATATATGTAAAAAATACATCCGAATTGCTGTATTTAGTTAAAACGTTACAAATCTGTATTTTTTGTCCTGTAAAAATACAGATATTTTTTACAGTGTGCTCATCATGTATAAAATGTTTAGCCTGTATATTATGTGCCGCGCGACTATGCTTTATCGCCTCCCCTGCCCTCGTCCTCCTCTTTCGTTTGACCCTTGCTTTCCTCGCACCTCAGACAATAATTCTCGCACTGAGTGTCTCCTGCCTACATGACATTGTATTCTTGCCCCTATTTCATTATTATCTATATTCTGATATGAACTGTATCTATTGATTGAACTTGAAAGATTAATTTATCCTCATTATGTTAGTATACGCAGCTAAACTACATTGTATGTTTCCTGTAACTCTTTGCTCACTCTCTCTTTCTACCTTTTCTCATCTGCTCTACCGATATAAAATAAGAATAATAATACTCCGCTTTTATATAGCGCCAAATACATCAATACAACGATGTGCCTAAGCGCTTTACAGATACATTATCACCCCGGTCATCGGCTTTAGGCTTACCCGCACATTCTCCACTCCCTGGGGCGCATTCCGGCCACTCGCCATTTTACAAGCGCACACTTGCTCATCCAAACGCATTAACTACTCACCACTTCTTCTCCTCTCTCGCTCTGTCGGCATCCTCGGCATATAAAATCGATTTCGTAACCTACCCGCCTAAAGCTGAGACAATTCTATTTTGCATTATAACTGTCAACCATTACTGTAATTGGCTTTGGTTATGATTATTTCTTTTTTGTAAATAGATTTGTAAAACTTGTATGAGTGAAAAACTAATTTCCGTGTGGACATTAAATACTTAATTTCAATTTTAATCTCAATATTCAATTCCGCGATAACCAGATGATTAACATTACATAACCACTCTAACGTAATGGATTTTTTTTTTTTTTTACAGGCGAGGAATAATTTAAAGAAGAATAAATATGAAGAATGATAAGAAATATTACTCTGTCATTTCATTATCGATATTATTATTAACATTTTCATTATTATTATAATCATCTTCATTGTCATCTTCAATATCGTCAAGATGAATGTATACAGCGCATAATACACTGAGAAGCCTCTCAAGAGGGCGATGCACTTAAAAACGAAATCATTAACAATAAAATTACAAGCTTAGAAGTTTTTCAGGTTATAAAGTGAGTGGGCACATCGATTAATCATGATAAATGATCAAAATAATACTTGATATGAGTTATCGCAAATTATGAAACATGAAAGTACGGAATGAAACGACAGAAGTAGATGCAGAATATGTCAGGATAAGATTCAACGCATGAATGGTATTCGATATCAAGTATATTTGGAATAACGGTTATCCAAACAGGTTGATAACTCATATATTCGTAGAAAAATAGACCGCCGATTAATCGGCAAACGTCATTGGTCAGTTGTTACTAAACAATTGACCAATGACCATCGAGAACGGACCTCCTATTCGCTGGGCTACTTCGCACGGCGAGCTCAGGTGAGTATTAAGGTGAGTGTGTATTACTAGAATCTCGAGAAATCCGAATCCTCTCGAGTCGAGCTTGTGGGCAATGTAATCAGTACAATCAACAGAGCATATCAACTTTTACACAAAAACGATAACCACGAAATAAAGTTGTAATCAGGAAGGAAGGAAGATCTTTACTTTTGTAATCATCTGCTCAAGCATGAAGTCAACTCTTAGAATGAACGGTAGGACCGAGTGTGGTAGGATCACTGGAAAGGATTATTTCGCGTCGAGTGGCGAGGATGTCTCACTGTTGAGCAAGTCAAGTGAGAAGACACAAGCTCGAGAGAAGAAAGGGCGGACTTTGTGTGGAATCGTACTCAGGAAGAATTATCTCTCTCTCGACAGCGAGAAAAGTAAGATGGGGAAAGAAAAGAAGCTGCGCTCGACTCCGAGTCGCTTTGCAATAAACCAAACCATGCTACCTTACAAGATGTTTTATTTTTTATCGGATGGCGCATCTTCGTGTATTGCTCCTTATCGCTCTCTCTACCTCAAGCAGCTCGGGTTGGGACCTAGTCGCATCGGCGTCGTGGCTGCCATGAAGCCCCTCGCGACCTTCCTTTCCAATGCCATGATTGGGTTCTTAGCGGATCGCTTTGGATGGCGGAAAGCTATCATGTTGACTAGTATGATGATCTGGATCGGTAGTCTACTAGCCCTCGGATTTATTCCACCTGCTTCTGAAGTACCAGGATCAGTGGCAACGGAACAGTTGAAGGACATGATCTCCAAATTCAATCACTCTGATCTAACAGGACAAGACCTGTTGGCCAGGTCAGTAAGATCAACTCACAATGAACTTCAACAACATTTTAACGAGAGGGTACATCGGCTACGTTGCTTGGTGTTTCATTGCTCAACGAACAGGACGTTGGAATCGTTGCCGCATCACGGGAAAGATTTCCGATTAGCGAAGAAAATGTTTGATCCCACAAGGAGCAAACATCTTGGACATCACAGACGTGTATCGTCAACGAGCTCGCCGTTATCGTCAACGACGACTATGAGAACAACAGCGAATCAAACGAGAGTATCATCAGAAAAGAATGTTTTTAGAAACCTTGGAGCGTCAAGCAACCATAGCGAAGGGTACCTTCCCGCCCGCAACGAACTCGGTGATGATACCGGGAACCAGATCACGGAGATTCCTCTGACCTCGAACATGATCACCGAGCTCTTAGCCGACCGCAGCTGGTTATTTGACCAGCAGGAGCTCTTCCATCTCTTCCTCATCATCCTCGTCATCAACAACGTAATCTATATCTCGTTAGGGTCATTCATGCGACTCGCCGACACCGCGACCCTCAATGCGCTCATTAACGATCCGACGAGCGAAGTGTCGGACTATGGCTGGCATCGGTCCTTCGGCGGCTTGGGGTGGGCAATATGGTGAGTCGTTTATCCCTTTTTTATATTTCAAATTCCACGTTTTAGCCATCGGTATCAAAACTCGTTTTGCCAGTACCTTACTATCAATTCGTAAAAGCATTCACAATGTTCATGTAGGCCACCACAATGATGATGGTGATGAAAATGCACAACTATACATTTAGTTCATACTTCTTTTAGGCATCTCCATCAAGAAGCTTTCCAAAAAGCAGTAGGAAACTGATTGATATGTAGGGAGAGAGGGAGAGAGAGAGAGAGAGAGAAAGAAGAATAAAGAATAGTCATATACCGAGAGTAGGCTCATCGATCAATATTCATCGATATTGCTCCCCCTGATTATCTTCCATAGTTATTACTTGTAATACACATCATTGCAAGGTACCCATATGATACATAATTTCGAGAGGGACCAAATAATGAGGGCAAAATACCTTGTCCAGGGATTTCAGCACCAGTCAAGGATCGAACCCGGGACCTCTTGTACGAGAGTCAGGAGCCTTCACTTCTATACCACGACCCTCCCATAACTTCCAAAGATGTCCAACTATAATGGAGGAAGAGATGGGGGGATATTCAAAATGATCACAATTATACACGAATAAGTACACTTTCTAAACTAGTACTGCATGAACAAGGTAAGAGGTTAGAAAGAGAATTCAATCTTCAAAAATTATCGAATGGAAAGACGAAAGAAAAATCAATGGGGGGGGGGGGCAATTTATGAGTGTTTGAGACAAAGTGGACAGGGAATATGGAAAATGTGATTAAAAAAACACATTTTTTCCCCCTTAAAGTTGAGATCACTGTTGACAGGAACAATGCCTACTTGTAATTCTTGAACCAGGCAATGATGTGTGATTTCACGTTATTTTTTCTCAATCTGTTGAGTACTAACATTACTCAAATTATCTATATTTTTAAATTGTAAAAGTCTAAGACTAAAAAAAAATATTTAAAAAATCGACCAGCACATCCTATACGTGTTTTCGAAGAACTGCCGGTTCTAAATGTATCTCGTGGGAATACATGAATTCGTACGAAGAAAGCAAAAGTTCAGCTCTGAACTTTGAACCTCGTAAATAGGTATTTTTTAATATTACTTAATAAACGTGAATAAACAAAAAAATATCAGATTGTGACACGGATTGTGACATCAGAAAGTACAAAAAGTTAATCCTGATTACAATAGCTACATCTAATCATGTACAAATCTACCCCGAGGATCTTCAAAGCGCCTAGGAAATGCTGCAATAACAATGGCTTTAGTAACGTATTCAAAGAATACCCTCCTACCAGGTACCCATTTACTACACTTGCAAGGAGAGTTGCAAATGTATATGGACGTATTGTCAATGGAATCAATGCCGCGGTGGGACTCGAACCGCGAACCCTTTTCTAGTATATATATATTACAATTTGGTAACGTACGGTATTGATCACGACACGTCTGGGTAATAAAGAAAAGAGAAGAAATTATTCAGGAGCTGCAATTGATAGCTGTACATTTCTGCTCAAAAGTATCGCTTGATCGAATAATCCGCAAAAATAATTTACAATACAAAAATTCAAATCACAGCTATCCAATATATGCCTTATCTCATGTTTTATTGTGCAATTTCCACTCAAAGAATTTCATTTAGAAAACATGGCACAATATATTAAGGCAAAATAAGCCAACCCATCTAGTCGCAAAAAAGAATTTAACAGTTGCTTCCCTGTTTGCTTGCTCCGCAATGATGACATCTATAGTCTGACATTTTCCACTTGAGTAATACCACAAGAAGGTTTACATGATAAGATTATGGACAGTCCGCTCTGCCGATTCAGACACTCGTCATGAATAATTTCAGACGAAAATGTGCCACATTGCTTCAATCATTCATGAATAATTACATTGTTGCCCCATTCCCTTACAGACTTACATGCACACACCTCGACATGCTCATGATTAGGGTCCCCCTTGTAATGTGCAAAGACTAATTACATGCACCCGAAATCGCTCTCGGCAAACTCACGACTGTTTACCGCAAGGGCATTATTATTAATACCGATTAACGAGGTTACCCTCGGTAAACAAGACATGTTATTATGATTATTATTATCATCAGGCGCTTACTTTGACGACATGTAAAATCTTAGGATTTTCGGTTTTTGCTGGGTAAGGTTCCAACAACCTAGTTTAGCCAGGGAAGCCTCATCTTGAGGGCATTGCAGTGACCGCCCTTCAATTTCTGTCCTTTACATGAAGGCTATTACTCCTAGGTCCTAACGTTAACATTGAACCTTCCAACGCAATGGAAACGGCGCCTCCTAAGCTAAAGAAGTTTCCTTCATTGTAAGGGGATTCGAGAAACACCACCTCCACGTGCGAATCACCATTGACATTAAAGGGCCACTCTAACCCGACTAACATAGCCTTTCAAAACATGAATACACCTCTACTTATTGATATTCCAGCCTCTGATTTTTCAGAAAATCTCTAAATTGACCAAAAAATGATAATAACCATCTATTTTTCACAGTTCTCATGCTTGCTGGGCTACGTCCCTCAAAACGGTCATGTGGCCTTGATGACGCATTTGACGTCATTGCGGGCATGTCCGATTTGTCCTACAACTAAGGATCTTACAATCTCGATGATGAAATTACCAGAAACGTACCGGGATTATCAAGTGCATATCATTTTTCGGAAAACGTCTTTTTTTTCTTCAATTAATATCATAGTTTGCCCTTTTAAAGGACAAGTTCCCTCGAAAAATAACTTACTTTCAATAAAAGCAGAAAAATCAGATAAACCAATCAAAAAAAGTTTGAGCAAAATCGGATAACTAATAAGAAAGTTATGAATTTTGGAAAAAGTATGTAAAACTATGGATCCATGAGAATCACAACACAAATTGCCAAGATGGTTATCAGTTTGTGACGTCATGTCCTCACAACTTATCAATTGCTTTACATAGTTTAATCCCATTAATTTCCCTTTTTATCCCCGTAAACTTGATTTCCCCCATACCTTTGCCCAGGTTATATGATTTGTATCATATTGCGTGCATGACATTTCCCAAAAACTTTTATGAATTTTGACGAATTGATACTTTTTTCTGAATATTGTATTTCATAATTATTGATTTTTATATAAATAGTTTATCAAAATTCAATTTTTTCATGATATAACTGGACAAAAATTACTCTTTATTTGTGCATCCACACACAAACATATTACTAACAATCTAACTTGGATGCTGGTGTGAAGAAATAAGATTCTTAGGGTGAAAATAGAGAATTTATATTATCAATATACAGAAAATAATTAGTGGATAGTGAGGACCATACGTCACAGACTCATGAGTGAGTTACCAATTTGTGTAGTGATTTTCAAAGTTTTTCATGTCATTAAAAATTCATAACTTTCTTATTAGTTATCCGATTTAGCTTAAACTTGTTTTGATTGGTTTGTCTGATTTTTCTGGTTCTATTGAAAGTAAGTTATTTTTCGAGTGGACTTGGGCTTTAAGAATGCCTAAATCATCCTCCTTTCACCGGCGAGGCTCCTGCAGTGACGCCATATGCTATTGCGTAATACAGCTCCAAAAACTGTTTTTCTTTTTTTCCTGAGCGTTCTGAGTCGTCATTTTTAAAGCTAGATTCCAGAGCTATTGATGATTTCTAAGAAAAAACATTGTCTTGTTCGAAATCTCCGTCAAAAATTATTCTACATTTCTTTTTCTCTTTTTTTTTTTAGCCCGTTTTGGTTAGAGTGGCCTTTAAAAAAAAATCAGACAAACTTGAGCATGCATGGATTGGTCCATAATATCCTATGGTTAATTTCATTCACGAAAAAAATTATATGAAAATTGTATTTGTGTTATTATTAATCACGGCCATTTTTTTGCTCTGAATACAAAATAAAATGCGACGCATGCCTACTTCCCGTTTACTTGACAAAAAAGAAAAAGAACATGTAGGGTAAAGAGGTATCCTTGAACGGATGTGGGTGAAAAAAATGCATCATCGGTCGTACTGGAGGAAAAGTATAAATAATTGAAAGTTGAGAATGAGATACGTATAAAGGTGGGTTAGAGAAGCTCAAATAGACATATGCTTTACTATATCTTTTTTTATTATCATTATTATTTTGTAGACAACTTTCTCATTTTATCTGTCGGCTATAACACTCAAATAACATTAATTTCAAGTTCTCTCCTACGCAACTATTCTCTTCTTCTTTAATTGAGATATGTTTGTATGCATCCTACCAAGAAGAGTGAAGTCATATAAATGAAAGAAAGTGACATAGAGAGAGAGAGAGAGAGAGAGAAAGAGAGAGAGAGAAAGAGAGAGAGAGAGAGAGAGAGAGAGAGAGAAAGAGAGAGAGAGAAAGAGAGAGAGATTGAGAGAGAGAGGGGAGAGAGAGAGAGAGAGAGAGATAGAAAGAGAGAGAGAGAGAGAGAGAGATAATACAGAAAACACGAAAGTAAGACAAGAGAGATCGAGGGCGTTAACAATCTGGGAAGTTTTTTTCTTTTTTCTTTATGTGAACAATCTGGGAAGTTGGTATATAGGTGGGTGAATGTATGACCATGGGGCTCTCTCTTAAAGCTCCATGGTACAACCCACGAAGATTAAAACACACGTCTAAGATTCAGATAACATACCTATGGGCTTTTTTTCACGGCGTTCTCCGAAACTGGTGCAAATTATATTGACCCATCAAAGAAGCCATCTTTGCGTTGTGGTGTATATATATTGCACCTAGAGATCAAAAGAAGATTTTTTTTTTTTTTTAAATCATTTTTGTAGCGCTCTTACAAACTAATTATTTTTTCACAGCGCTTTACATAAACATTATCAAAAAAGTTTTTATGGTCAAAGAGGAGATGATATATTGACGTATTGGTGGCGACTGTAAGTTTAATAAGGAACTTACGACGTTTGTGATAAATAGGCTCGCCTCTATAAAGTTAGCGCTTTCGTTTTGGCATGACTTTAATTATTTAGTG